TAATTCTTTATCAAAGCATTTTTATTTTAAAAATTTTATAATTTTCCAATCGAAACGCTATTCTTTAAAATTCCAGTCTTTCGTAATTTCCTACAAATCATAACAACATTTCAACAACTTTTCGAGCTCCAAATGAATCGTTCAAACAGAATGATAAAAATACTGTTCAGTATTTGCCACATGAATCAATCTGTAAGCGATACATCCGGCAGAAGGCATCGCGGAAGGAACGCATTAGAGGTAGAAAATCAAAGAACGACGGACGCATAAATCGTTTATCAGAGTCTGGACCGAGGGAGACAGTCCCACGAAGAAGGAAAAAAAAAGAAAAAAGGGAACGTGGAATGGTGCATTAAGTAAAAATGAAAGTATGCGGTGAAAGCAAACTCCTAGGACCATGTAAAGTACACGACTGATAATTGCAGAGCTGACTTGTAAAACGTTAATAGGAGAAAAATTAGATATCGCACGAGATAAAAACAGGGGTCGCGTGAGTGTCGAGTAATTTTCTCCTGTAATTCGACGAACAACGACCAACACGATTGTTTGTTTATTAGTTACAGACTAGCTTCTTTGTGTTGGTTTAATAATACACCTGGACACGGCACTTAAGAGAAAATGAGACGATTGTTTCTTCATCCCGGTAGGCGACTTCATCGTGGATCGATGGGTCTCGTTAGATGGCTACTATATGCAACCATATGATTGCTGATAATAATAGGAAATAGGAAAATGAAGAAAAGAAGCAAAATTGAGTGTGAAGGAAAGTAATTAACAATGATTATTACGTCAGGGTAAGAAGATTTTAAAAAACACATTTTTCTTTATGTTGGACTTTTATTTATTAAATTGGCATCTTTTAGAAAAATTATTGACATGCTTATAAAAATTAATGAGAAATTGTTGAGACACAGAAATCCGGGGTAGTTGACTTGATTACGAGTTGCCCCTTTTTCCATTTGACGAATGCCGACATCGATTATTCTAAACTCGCAATTGTCTGTTCTAAAAATTCAGATTTAGATGCTTGACTGATAAAGGATCAATCCTTGAGTCTAGATTACCGAAGCCAACTTCAGCATTATGTTTTCCACTTTCAACCTCCACCCGTAACAACTATTTGTCTTCATTCGTACCATGCTGCTCATTGATCGTGGCAGAATAAGGTCTCCTTAGTATAAATTCCACCAACTCTGTCGTACGAAAGGCGCAGTAAATGGTGCATTGATTAATCCCATTAGAGATTGTGGATCCCGGGAAACCTTCACACAACAACAACAACAGAAAATGAAAAGAAAGATAAGTTTCTTCTATTAAAATGAACAAAAGTTTCATAGTTGTACAACATTTATTGAATTGGATTTCGTTTTCAAGTGCAAATGATCATTTTACAGGAATAAGCAGGTAAAATTAATGCGATACCCTGTCTTCCTCGCTTCGATCCTTTGAACACGGTTGTTTAACCTGTTCTGGAATCGATAGATTCAATCTGGACGTACCTACTCTGATTTTTCCAACGAAACAGGAGGTATTGATAGTCAATACGTGTTGCAGATGAAAGATTCTGCATTCAGTTTATGTTCTGATATTCCAAGTATGAGATATTAGAAATTTCTAATTTTTCAAGTATTAGAAAATGATTAGGAAGTAATCATTTATAGTTGAAGGGCTGAATTCGAGGCGCCAGTCATTACTGATTGCTAAAAGTTATAATTTTCTCCATCATTACCTCGTTAAAATAAATTCTAAAGACCCTTCTCTCCTATCACCTTCATCAATCATTTACTTAACTTTCTATTTACTCTAAACACTTATAAAATTATTTTCAAGCGCCTTTATCAGATACACGAAACCTATTTCACCGTTAATCTATCCTGTCCAAGTCTCCTTATAATCCGTCTGAAACTGTTTCACGCCTCTTTATCTTGTTCTGCGATCCGCGTTTATACCAACTTGCATTTTAACGAGACGCATGAATTTTTCCTTCTCTTCTCAGGCATCATCGATCGACCGTGTCCGTTTTCCATGATTGTCCTAATTTACCGTTCGATTCGATCTTATCGAGCCGCGACTTATGGATCGAGCACCATGACGTTAATGGACTTAATCCGTCCTGTTCGAAGGAAAATCCATTCGCGTTCACTCGATCGTTCCCTGCTCCGTTAACCATCGATCGTATATGAGATTTCCTCTTCGCCTAAGCCATAGCAAAACGTTAGAGAACGAACACGAGCACGGTCTTATCGATAGGAACGCGATGCTGTGCCTCCCCCCTTTGGACTCGGAGTTTTGCAAGAATTCGTAATCTCGAGCGTGCATTGTATCTCGAAAAGCGATACACTCGTATATAGTGCAGGAGTTTATGGCACCGGTAACAGATGGAGCATGCCGATACCTCGGTTCTCCGATGCGAAACGCGAATTTGCAAATTACAAGGATGATAAGGGCCGCGTTGCGCTACGATTGTGCTCGAAACCCCGTATTGTGTTCCACGAAGATTAAACTTATCGATAATTTATGGATATCTACTAGGAAGTACGAGTGTAACTATGTATAGGGAGACTGCTGTATAGATTTGTTGAAGATATCTACTATCTTCTTGTAGTAAACAGCATCGTTGTGGGATGATACAAAAATACATTCCATTTTTATGCATTCATGAAAAATTCATGAAAAATTTTAATTAAATGTTTCATTAAAGAGTGGTTTGGAGACTTCCGATTTTTAAGAATGATCTTCTGAAAAAGCATAAAAATATCCTGGACAAATTCGAAAGTGCTCGTGACTTTATGAGAAAATCGTGATCTCATGAATGTAACAACAAAATACCATGTAATTCATAATAATTATTCATCAGCAGGTTCATGAAATATTGTACTCGAGCTGGGACATCGTATTTTGTTTTACATCCATGTAAGGGTTAATTACCTGACGATATTTTCGGCCAACCGTGAAACTATAAACTTGCGACCAAATTACCGTTCACATGTTTTTTATCGCCAGCTTCACGCAGTAATTCCTTCATTCCAGATACAGCAACACGTTGAATGCAACCTTGGACGTTCGATCATTTTGCTTTGAACGAACCGCGTGTTTATACGCTTGCCTATACTACTTGATACTTTATCGTCGCGATAGTTCGTCAAATGCAACGCGTAGATAATCGGAATTTATAGGAATTTTATGCACGTTAAGTCTAGCCCGGATCTAGGTGCATACTTGTGCCTATAAACACTGAAACAAGTGGTGCTGGTTCACCAAACTGGCAGAACAGGGACTTAGAAATTTTTCCTAATTTGCTATACAGATACCAAAGATACTAGAGTTAAGCTCTTAGCTCTATTTCACAAGTGTTCACTTTTTTAAACATTTGTATATCGGTCTGCATTAGGCATTATAAATCTGGATTGAAACAATTGTTTCCCACCTTACCTGGTATTAATATATCATTTTGTTACGCATGTTTCTAGTGACGACTATATTACAAAGACATAATAAATGACATACGTCGAGGTAAGGCTATGATTGCGAATGTAAGTTCTGAGAAACATTGCTTAACACTTTGACTGCCACAGTGAGAATGACGATCTGTAGTAAGGTATTACAATAGCAATGTTATTCAAAATTCTCCTTCTTCCTTTTTCTTAATTAATCGTTAGTCAGCGTGTTAAATATTACTACCAAGAAATCAATTTCAATCAATGAGATTGTGTTTATCATGGTGCTCTCCGAGTATTTTATTAACGATTGGAATGCAATTGATTACAGATAATTCGTCACCGTTGTATACCTTCAAGCTTGATTTCTAATCCTTTTAGAATTCATAGCCGTGAAATGGTATCGAGTATCGAGAACAGTATCGTTTACATTGTCCTACATAATAAAGCGGATGAGGATTATTTCTGGTGTTGGTCTTAAAACAGTTACATGTTAAATCCATTAATAAAACAATGTCTTATTAGTATTCAATCTGAGAAATCAGTTAGAATTGAAATTTACCATGAATGTTAATTTTCCGTTGAAGATTTATTTCTTGCTATATGTTCACGTCAAAGAGGATTAAGTAACGTTGAAATAGACGTATTATCTGAATGAAACCTCTATCTTTATCCATGATTCTTTTTCCAACACTTCGTTAACATGATAGGGGAATGCTCAAAAATGAAAATATATACAGCAGTGTTTTTTGAATGGCCACCCACGATGTGAGTATAGGTTTTCATTGGGTCAACAACGATTGCCTCAGAATGGTAACGTTGAACTCTCGTTTGATCGAGTTGACAGATGTAGGAGCTTTTGGGTCGACTACTGTTTCTTAGTACTTCTACACCACCATTCATTACTGATAATTTAAAAATCCATAGATTTGGTGACCTCAATATTGAATATTTAAAAAGTGTAAGAATAATATCAGTAACATATTAATTTTACAAGCACATGGAAAATTTAAATTAGAAACTGCAAGGATTGCTTCCTGAATAATTACAATGTTAACGTGTTAAAATTATTTTCAAAAAATTTTACCCAAAAGAGCTAAGAAGCACGACAACTTTTTTACTTAAGTATATTTTATCAACAAATGGTCAAATGAACAATTTTATCCACGACCAAAAATATAGGAATCTAAGTACAATTCGAAACGAGGTCTCTTAATACCCTCAATTTGTACAGTAATTGACTCTAATTAATCAGTAATCAACAGTTCTAAATTGTAATTTATATATCTATAAATTGCACAAAAATTATTGATGAATAAAAGTATTAAATACTTGAGAAGCTATCGATGATCGGTGAAGAAGGAATCCCACTACACAAACTGCAACTTACATAAAAACCTTCCATTTTTAATTTGTAATCAACATTCATGAATTATTATAAACACGTTTCACAGCGCTTGTTTATTCGCATATTTTATTCATTCAATTCATTGTAAAGAATATAAGTAACTGAAGGATCGCAGCAAATCAAGTTTATAAATTTGATAAAGAGGTAGTTTTTTTTAATTAAAATACATTAATTATATTTTGACAACGTGTGTCATGTACATTTACATCGATTCAAGTGAAACTTCGCATTGAATGAAACCTGATTCCAAGAATTGTAAATTGAAACAGAAATTTCCACGTTATATAACGAGAACAGGTGGGGCGGTTAAATGTGTTTCCTCGGTGGCTGCAGGCAAAACGAGGGATTCTAAAATTAAAAGGATATCCAAAACGATCGTTTCGATGGGCAATTGTATAAAGGCTGTCGATCCTTCGATGGCTTCTCTTCCGAGGGGTATCAACGTCGACACTTCACGGATTAGAGAATCGGGGCTGCCAATTATTTTCTTAATTGGAGGACCAGGAGTTGGAAAAAGTAAATCAATTTATTATTATCTTGTATTGTTCGCACAATCTGCTTGGTTATACGTCGTATAACCTAGCAGTTTTATGACTGACGTGTAATTTCATGGGCAATTTTGTTAAAAAAGATAGACTATGGTATTTTCAAACGTGCAGAAGAAAAAATTTAAATTTTGCTTATCTGGGAGCAAATTTTATTTAATTATGGACCAATATATTCTTTTGATGGAAATTTAAGAAATAATTCTTTGATAAAGTGAGGAACTTATAATAATTCGATGACTCGATCCTTTCAGGGACGTTATGCAGCAAAGTAGCGGAAAAGTATGGTTTCCTGGGCATAATTAGCACTGATTTAATTCGAAACGAAGTATCCACGCGTACCGAAAGAGCCTTCTTATTGGCACGAATGATGTCACAGGGTCAGCTGGTACCCACGGACGTTCTGATAGAATTGATCGCAGTGAGAATGATTGACTTCTTGGATGAAAAAAACGGATTCATCGTGAGTGGATTTCCACGACATAAAGATCAGTGTAAAGTGTTTGACAGAGTGATAAGACCGCCTGATCTTGTATTATTTATGGAAGCAAGAAACTCTGTTCTAAGTGATCGAATAATGGCTAGAGCAATCACTACTATGGAAAGAGTTTCGATCAGCTTCGACTTTATTAGGAAACAAATTAAGCAATTCCATAAAAGAAATAAACCGGTAGTTACATATTATAATTACAAAAACTTGCTGGTGATGATCGATGGAGAACCTGAAGCGATTACAGTATATGAAAATGTATGCGAAGTTATCGACAACCTGTTACTTAATTTCCCAACCAGATCGTCTAATGTTGAAGAAATAAACGTGATATCAGACGACATCGTACCAGAAAATAACGAAGAATAAATGTATTAAGGTTTTAATACTTCTAGGAAGAATTTTTAGCTCAATCGAGGAAAAGATTTTCATCAGAGTGTATTTAGATTCATTTTATTATCATAGGGCAATTATTTAGCTTAAGTATAAAGTAGTATAATCGAGGGATTCTCTGTGAATTTGATAACAGATTTATTATGTGTGTTGTGAATCTCAGTAATTAGCACTTTTGATAGCTTCATACTTCGTAGAATGGACGTGGAACCAAATAGTTCAATTTTGTGAACTATTTGTATTTCCCTACTTTAAATAAAATCATTGATTCAATTCTCAAAAGGTACAGTGTAAAAAATTATTGATATTCAGATGAATTTCAATAGGATGGTTCAATATAACTCCATTAATGAAGGGTCATAATTGCCAAACTAACTGTCGACTGCACATTTTTTTTCCAATGTACACTGGAAATGTGTTTTTGATAGGCATTCGTTGTTCACCCGCGTACGTGTACGTCCATTTATATTCTCACGTACGTCTGTATTTATTCTCATCCCCTGTATGTGTTTACGCTCGTTTTAATCAGTGGATGGATGGTTGCTTCTATTTATGAACGTCCTCACACACTCGAAACTACAATCGCGTCAACGTTTCTGAACCTAACTCACCCTCGTATATATGAGGGTACATACACCCTGTACACGTTTGGCAAATGCACACATAAACACACGTGCACTTTCTGTGCCACCTATCTGCACGTGAATTCCAGTTCGCATCTCGGTGGATAACTGATAGAACGTTTGCCTGTGCTCGTGCCATGGGTGAGCTACAAATTTTAGAATCGTGGGGGTTCAATCCAAAGACAGAGAAAAGAAAAAGTATTCATGCAATCGTTAGATGTACTTCAGTGGGCAGATTAAAGATACTTGTGATTTCATTTCTTCCTTTTGCAATTTTTAGTCAAAGATTGTAGTCGAATTTCAGAAGCATGCAAAGACGTCTTCGTCAGTAAAATATTACATCTGTCTGCAACATGTGAAATTTTTATTTTGCATCGACAAAATTTCTTTACAACAAATAAGAACTGAACTAACCCTTCAGTTGCAGCAAATTTTACACCTCCTTCATTTCCAACTCGTCAACAGAAATATCTCCCCAAGTATCTTTTTTAATCACCCTCAGTATATCCGCCCCTGCCAGCGTCCATCGCACACTTCTCGCGTTTCATTGTGTACGTGACCGGCTATCGAAAGGTTTTCCCCGGTGTTGGTGTGGGTGGACGGGTGGTTGGCTGCGTTTATGAGGGTGCGGGCCCGAAATTGAAAAGCACCCCAGCGAGAGGTAGGCGAGGGTGGTCGTGCAGCAGTCATTGACAAGCGAAAGACCGTATCAGAGGGTAATCCTATTGGTGGACGGTCGTGTCGCGACGTCCAGACGTCATTGGTCCGCCTTGAATCCACGGGGCGTGGTCTGGAGTTCCTCGAGGGTTGGTGGGGTAAAGGATGCCTGGTTGCATCCCTGGCAACGATTACCGGAAAACCACAGGGTCGTTCGACGCTAGGAATCCAGCATGGCGGACCTGGCAACCCCTCCGGCTCGATTCACCACCACCACTACCACCACCACCATCAACCCCAGCCGCTATTATCGAGGCCACTGCGACTGTTCACCACCAAACCGTCCGGGTAGTGGATTTCGCTCGATTTGTCCGGGGGAACACTTCAGGAATCGGAAGTTCGATCGGACGATTAATTGCTCCGTTAACTAGTCTTTTCAAATCCTGACTCTTTGACGACGCAGCGGGAATACAAGAAGCTCCGGGTGGATCCTTTGATTGTTAGACGTACGGGAAATTTATATTTCGTATTACTGATTTAGATGTATCGCTTTAAGCAATTGATGTTTTGGTAATTGCTTATATTTTAACGCATTCACTGCCGCAGTAGAAGTAGACGTATGTAGTCAGACATACTGAAACTGTAATTATTATTAAGGCTAGAAAGCGCCAATCATTGATGACCCTTGTGGCAGTTAATGTGTTAAATAGAACCTATTAATAGTGACGATTTTTCATTCAAACTTACATCAAAATTATTAATATCATTATCATTTTTCATTAGATAATGTTCAAATATCGTTACATCTGGTTTGACTATTGTAATTCATCAAAGAATTATTCGCAAAAACAGTAATTTATTGAAAATTATAAAGACAGGTTCATCGAGATTTAAGCCACGTTTCAAAGAGCATTTTTTCAAAGCCCATCAACGGTTGGATCCTCCACTTGTACCGTCGTTGTATCTGATTCCAGTAAGCAACATCGAGATACTAGGTATTCCGGCCGATTCAATGAAGGGGTGAAGGGGGTGAAAACGGAGAAAGAAAGAGGAGATCGCGGTGGTAAGAGGGAAGGAGAACGAATTTCACTACCACGTAGCCAACGATCAACAATTGCACGATGTTCAGTGGGTGAAGGTAGGCGTCGTCTGGTGACGGTGGCGAAGAGGGTGGGGGTTAGAGCGTCGGCCAGGCGTCAACCGATGCGAAGGGTTGCGCGCACGCGCCGCGACGAGCGTCGTCGACGAAGCGCCGCATCAAACGTGCCGGCTATAGGTTAAATCCTCCCGCTCCTCGTTTTTGTTGTTTTTCCGGCGTTGCCTCCTGATCCCGCCTTCAAAAGTGCCAGCGGACCAATCGGTGGCCCGTGCTCGCGGGACGCCCGGCGTCGAGACACCTCTGCAACCACCAACGACGTCGATCTTCGTGATACGGGACGATCGCGTCGAGCCAACCTCGATCTCTCACCGAGACGTCGACTTCGAGGCATCATCCGTCGTTGGTGCTCTCGGCTCTTTCGAGATTGGTGCTCGAACCACTGTGTCGTCGGGTGGATCGTGGTTCTGTGAAATTTTCAAAGGATCTGCAAGATAGGGTGCTTTTTTATTCGACGTTTGTGCGAAATATTATCAGTTCGTTCGGAGGACTGTAGTGATTTTGGACAGTTTGAACTGTGTGCGCGAGTGCCGAACTAAATTGGAGCATCGTTGGCAGGTGAGAGGATCTTTGATTTATTATTGAACAAATTTGGGAAAATTTGTGTATGGGAAATGGTGTTCGAGGATGTCCTTTATTGGTGCTTCGCAAGGAAAATGTCAATATTCAAAGTTGGGTGATGATTCTGGAAGTGTGATAATGTATAGATAAATTATTCCTTGTATTTTACTAACATTTATGTTAAAATTTGTTGCAGTATACTGTCTCTCATTCGACCTGGAATGTTTATGGGTACACCATGAACGGAGCAACGTCGGTCACAACTTCAGAGGAACATCAGCATCAACATCAGCAACCGCAAAATGATGCATCTGCAGAACATCCAAGAAGTCCCACCAGTCCTTTGAGCATACGGCATGGTAAGTCATAAAATCATTTATTAATCGACGGAATAGTGTAAGAATTGCGTTAAACCAATAATTCGTAATTATTGGCCGGAAGAAAGTAAAGAAAGCATTTGCTTCGATACAAAATATTATTTTTAGCGACAGATGCGCGCGCGACACAGGTGATAATTCGTTGCAGAATTTACTTATGATTAAAAGACGAATTGCATGCGAGTGCAGACAATTCGATGCACACGCAAAGAAAACATAACTGCATAAACATTCTTTGTTATAGACAGTGTTCATTTAACGAATGATCATTAGGAACTATTAATTTCTAACTTTGTTTCTGAATTTTTAAAGTGTTCATATTTCATATCTTATTATAGCATCAATTATAAATTCAATTCAATTAAAAGTCAGAAGTACAATAGTAAAATTTCGAAAAATGCAACGTTGTTATTTCAGATGTTAAAAAGTTCGGCTTGAATTCATTTCCGTCTTTAAATGTAAAGTTTGCTTGGATATAACAAATATTGTTTCTCGAAAGTTTACAATAATAACAAAATCATCGATACTTGTCGTTTTAAATCATCATTCAACGACCACTAGACGTTCGCTGCATTTATAAACGATTGACCGTATTAATGCACGTCCAAGAGACAGACTACATAAATCTACCCCCGACGCGCTTTTATTCGAACCGTAGTTCGAGGGTGGTAAGTGGAAAAAGAGGGTGCAACACGGCCAACAAAATTATGCCATTTGAGTAATCAGATTTCGAGCTACCCAAAGAATTTACTGTTATACGATTTTCGCAGTTGTTAAACGAAGAAACGAAAATCCTATTCCATAAATGACACATCCCAATTAGATAAAGGAAGGATATTTCTTTATAATACCCATTGAGAATTTTGAAATTTATCTCTACTAAAAATAATTTATCCTTCAGTTATTAATAGACTGCGAATGTTTATGCCTTTATAGCATAATTATATCAATACTAAAACGTATATTTCAAACTTCAGGGTTATACAAAATTATCAACCCCATTAAAAAATCACTCTATCAAATATAATCAAAGAACACCGTCAAAAGACGAAAACCAAATCCAGCAGATGTACGAAAACGCGAATCAATTCAACTCGAGACTCAATCTCAGGCAAGTTTGGTATCACGATATCTCCCTAATGCGGTAACAATTAGTCGATAGCAGAGGGTGCGAGGGTGGAGGGTGACCAAAGTGGTCGCTGGTAGTTACGAAACCCCTTTTTTTTTCGAACGTCCCAACCAGCGTCCCCTTTGCTGGTCGTCATTCCACGCAATCCCTACCATGGCTTCTCGATGATCCCATAATACAGGGGCGCAGGTGGCGCCTCGCCATCCACCAGCATTGATATGCTAATGAAATTTGACGCCCCTGCTTTTGCTCGCGTTATATACACGCGTACGCTTTGCATTTCGCGTTCGCGCGAGGAATCCGTCGGCTGGTCACCATAAGGCCGTATAATTTTCCTGTTCTCGTTTAACCCCTGGCAGTGATGGTGCATCGCGAAAAACCTTTGTCCATATTTAATTACTCTAATGGCGTAACCTTATCATGATGGCGACTGTGAAAATTCGCCGGCTATGTTTCTATCAGCAACTACATTGGCTTGGAATAAGGGTTTGGTTTGCAAGAAATTGTCAAGTTTGTTCGATAAGGACTTATCCACAGTTCGTTGCTATTTTATTTTAAGAATACATTTCACATGTCGCAATTTGTGTCTCTCTGTTCGAGTACGATGGGATTAGGGTGTTAACGAGATCGAAAAGCCGACGCGCTTAGGACGTTACGTGAGTTGCATTAATAAGATCGTTTTCAGTTCATCCCTCCAGACTGTAACGACGGAACGATAAGATTGAAATCTTTCTGGTGTAGCAGGATTACGCGTATCAATGAACGATTCGAACGTGCTTTATAGTTTCGATCACTGATTATGATTACAGATGCATATCTGTTAAATTTAAGATGATCAAATCTATGGTATTCAATTCGCACCCTTGATTCATTTAGCTAGCTTATTTTAATGTCATACTATTAAATTTTCATTGTTTCAAATCGGGTAATAAATGAAATCGGTAAATGAATATAAGGAAATTTGTATTCTATTTTTAAAATTTCTTTCCTTTTAAAAACTCTGCGCTAAAGAAAGAGGGAAACGACTAGCAATTTCATTTCTTCGATACGATTGATTTTAAGTGCAATCTCTCATGGGGAGTTTCGAGACCTTTTAAATAACTCCGTATAGGGTACAGTTAAATTATTTTGCAGCGGGTTCGGGGTACAGGACCCTAACCTGATATCGAACTGTTCGCATGGTAATTCGAACGGATCCTGTCTGACCCCGCGGCATTAACGAGACCGGAACGAGTTTTCGATCGGATACGATGCAGTCGACAAATACGATTCCAGGGAGATCTCGCGCCTCGTCGGGGTTGGCAGCGTGACTAATAAACCCGAGTGGAGAAGCGAAATCACATTTCGTTAATCACGCAGATGTTCGTCGGTCTCCGATCTCTTTGCGTTACCATCTTTCAATTAATATCGTTCACAGAACCGACGGAATTTATTTTCTTATCAATTTGTCACTCGTTTGCTTTGTTTCTTGTTGCAATTAATTGTACAGCGAATAGCACCGTAGATGGTCTATCAAAATTTCAGGGGTGAACTGGGGTTAATTTTTTAACAGTTTTAAAATTCTGGAATTTTAGAATAGTGAAGGAGGACCAGACCCACCCTACCTAAATATAAATGTTAAATATTGAGAATTAATCTTCAATTAAAAGAGCAAATGAAATAGCATTCTTATTCCTTCTTGCTTCTTCCTCGACATATTAATATTTATGCTGGATCGCTTTTACCTTCCACGGTTTTTACGAACTCATTTCTCGATGTAAATACTGTTTGCCTTCGCGATTCAGTCAGTAAGCCTTAAGGGATGCGAGAAAAGAAGCGCGCTCTCTTTGGGGTGGAAACCATAGACAATCTGGCACCGATTTTACAAAAGAATTCATTACACAATTTTTTCAATTTCTTCCAACTATACCAAATTGTTCGTGTGTTTCGCCAAAATTAATCAATAATCGTACATTGATAACCACTTT